ATCCGTATGCAAAGCCATTTTTTGAAAAAAAAAATTGTGAAGGATTTTTTTCCTAGACAACCTTTGTGGCATGATAACTGACCTCAAAACCATATTCGACCCAAAACAGCAGCTATGAGTTATCATTTGATAAAAAAGTCTACCACAATTAGCCCATGCGCTGCTGTTTTGGGCCAAAGTAGAACTTTTGGACATTTTTTTACAGGCTTTGGAAGTCAATCCTTAAAGGGAAAAAACTTCACAACTTCTTCCACAATGATGCTTCGCAAATACGGATGACGGATTTCAGATCAGCCTTTTAAACTGCATCTACAGTTTATACCATTTTTTTAATCGCCCTTTTGTCCAAGTACCCATTTTTTTACTAAGGAGACAGGATAGGGATGCAGGACGAGGAACTGAAATGCTGGAGGTGCTGATATAGCAATATGCAAAATATGATGTACTCCACTGAGTTCAAATCACTTGGAAAGGACATTCACAGAAAAGAAGTGCTAACAAAATTGCAAACGCCTATTTTGCTAAAAAATTGCGTCAACAACTTCAGAATGATTTAAAACAAAAGAGATACTGAAATGCAGGAATATAACTCGTAGCAATGGAGCAGCTGTGCAACTGAATACATTTTTGTGTCTCTTGAGCTGTGTTCATTCGTTTATTCAAGCAAGGACAGTCATGCTGGTGAACGGGTGCGACGTACTCGTGCACGATACCGTAGCAAAATAAGTAATTCTAGAATTGTTAACCGCGTTTGAGAAAGAAATTTCAAAGATAGTAACAAGTATGCGGATAGAATAGACGATCCAACTACCGTCAATAAATACAGTGGAATTCAATTCCATTAGTAAAACCACATTCAACTCTGAAAATTTTAGATAAGCACATGATTAGACTCGAATTTTTTTTTTTGGAAAGATTTTAACAAGATCGTGAACTCAACACGCTATTGGTATGAGTACTAAAATATTTGTATTTTGTCGTAACTTTTCATTAATGCTAAATTTGATGGAAGAATTTTGCCAGCACTTTGGCTGTTTTTTAAGTTAAATTCGAAAAGCAATAACAACTCGTCTCTGATGAACGGTTAAATGCAGGGAGGGACATGTATACTCGTCAAAAGGTACACATAAGTATCATTGGCGGGATCAAGCTTTCTATAAGTTCCCACGAGTATTTTACTTCTGGACCCTATAG